CCTATAGACACACGGACAGCAGTCCCAAAAGAAGCAGTCCCTTTGAGGCGGCTTGGAAACCACTCACGTGCTCTGGGAGGACAGAGCTGAGCCTGGAGCAAGGGGGGAGGGGAAAGAAGATAATGAATGGGCACATCCACCCTGATCTGTGATCTATAGCTAGAATTGAGCAAACCTCAGCTAAATTCTTCAGAGTCAGGAAGAGAGAGGCACTCAGAGAACAACATAACTAGAGAACAGGGGCTGGGAGACAGAGGGGGCAAAGCAAGAAAACAGCTCATTGCCAGTAAGTGACCCAAACTTTAAACTCTGCTGAGGTCCTAGTTGGTTCTCTGGCTTGAGGAAAGAGAGGAAGTAAGGAGTTGCGGGAGCGTCAACACACTTCTGTGCGTGTGGAACGGTCTCACCCAGACGACCCCCTCCCCCAAAGGAAATCGAGATATTCCTCTAGGGCTGGAGGGGACAACTGGTTTTGTGGGACAGCAGGAAGGAAAACGGCGACAGACAGCACTCTCCGTCACTTCTAAAAGAGAAGAGGGACAGGTTCCTTCACACCTGGCAAAGATCCTCCGATTCTGGGAGCAGGGGGAGCGGAACTTAGGCACCTCTCTCCCACAACTGGAATGGACAGGCCAGAGGACAGTCATAGCGGTTTCCTTAAGGCTCACGAAAGGTAGGTAAGCTAAGGAAAGAAGCTCCCCATCTCCTGCGGCCCGACGCCTGGGGAACCCCTCAAGAGGGGGCTACGGGTCGGGGGAGGGGTCAGTATCCCCCTAAACTGGGGCTGGGCGGGAGGAAGGGCTGCCCTGGAGATGCTTCAACGCAGGCGAGACACCAGGTCCTGGGACAGGCATACTCACGGCGGCTCCGGGGCGGCGGCGTTACTTGGGGCCGGGGCTCGGACGGGCTCTGCTTCTCTCCCCCCCGGCGGTGTCCCAGGCTCCGGCCTCCACTTCCGCCTTTCAGCCGCTCCGGATCCGGATCTCCACCTCCGCCCCGCCCCTCAATACTCCCAGGTGATTGACAGGGCAGAGAAACCAATGGGAGGCACTCTTGGCCGACCTACCCAGCGGCGCCGGTAGGAACGCGGGAGTGGCAGGAGGGTGCGCGCGAGGGATGGCGGGACTTGTAGTTCGTGGCGATGGGAGGAGTCCGTGGCTGCCTGGGACTTGGGCTTAGGCTGGAGCCGGCTGACTACAAGGCCGAGCCCGGCCGGGAACTTTTTATTTTTTTTCAGACGGAGTCTCACTCTGTCGCCCAGGCTGGATTGCAGTGGCGCGATCTCGGCTCACTGCAACCTCCGACTCCCGGGTTCAAGCGATTCTCCTGCCTCAGCCTCCCGAGTAGCTGGGATTACAGGCACGCACCACCACGCCCGGCTAATTTTTGTATTTTTAGTAGAGACGGGGTTTCACCATGTTGGCCAGGCTAGTCTCGAACTCTTGACCTCAGGTGATCCGCCCTCTTCGGCCTCTCAAAGTGCTGAGATTACAGGCCTGAGCCACTGCGCCCAGCCTATGGCCGGGAACTTTTTAAGGCCAAGCCCGCCACCCGGTCACCGCCGGTTCCGGACGCCCCGAGGGAAGGCGGGTGGTGGAGCGTTGGAAGAAGGCAGAGGACTGTGTGTGCAGAATTGGGAAAGAAGAAACATGGTGCGAATGAATATGCATGCGAGGCCTCAGTCCTTTGAACTTGCCGATCTGGAGAAGCCCCTGTCTGCACTTTCCGGCCAAGTCAGCTTGGGAAGCCCGATTGCTGGGGGCGTCTGTGATGGGGAAGGCGATGAAAGCGCTGTAGGAAGGGTTCTCTACAGGATGCTGGGTGAAATCAAACGGAGAGCTTCTGCCACCACCTCCTACTTGGTGCAGGGGGCCGGCACAAAGACCATCTCTGCCTCTGCCTTCCCCTGCTCCCAGCCAGGGTCAGCTCTTCTCTCTGACACGGAATACAGAACTGGACAATCTCTGCCTGGGCCCTCTCCATCCGCAAATAAAGACTAGAACCACCCCCACTCTGCACCCCCCCCATATGGATCAGGAATATTTGTTTCTTCTACTCGTCTCAATATGGATGGGGCCCGCTCCTGATTCCTCCCACCCTTACTTCTCAACACAGACCAGTACCTCCTCTTCTTTTGCATCTCACCCTCCAGGGACACTACTGAAAACCTGTGTGGAATCAAAGCTCACCAGGGACAGCTGTGGCCATTGTGCCTCTAACACTGGCCAACACCAGGCATATCTTGGAGCCTCAGCTGGAGAATTTACCTGCCTTGGACAACCTGCCACAAAACTGTGCCCACATCTAGTTCCATCTAGTCACCAGGGCGTCTCTTTCTTACATCCGTAACACACAAGACCCCCTTCCACGCCAGTGATCATGAGAAGTGAAAAGGAAGAGGGAAGAGAGGGCTTGTTGGGAGGACAGAGGGGATGGGGCAGAGAGGGATTCCTAGCAGGTTCTGGCTGGTGACAAGCTCTTCCCCCAGCCCCCTTGCCATACCCAGCTCTTGAACAGTTCCTTATATGGGAGGGATGGGTAGTCCCCTGGGCCCACCTTTCCAAGGCTGGAGGTGGGCCAAAGTCAGGACTCTATCCTTTCCACATACTGTGTGTGTATATGGCTGTGACTGGTGTGCAGGGGAGAGAAGCGGGTATAATAGGCCCATAGTGACTAATTAAGTTTTTCCCTCATCCCTGGGGCCCCTGGTGGTGTGAATGTGGTGCCAAGTAGATTGGCTGGTGCCTCTGCCCTTCCTAAAGATAGCAACAGGGCTCTGGGGTGCAGCGGGGGTGAGGGTGGGGAATGATTGCTGTGTTGGCTCCTCCAAAGCCCTGGGGCTCTCAGACTAACCCCCAGAAACACCCAGAGCCAACAACTACAAAAATAAAGAGTTTATTTCCTATCCAAAAGTGAGCCCAGGGTGGTGGGTGGTAGAGGAGAGCTGGAGACCTGGGTGAGTTTTGGAGCAGTCCAGGCCCTGAGTGAGACCATGTTGTAATGGGGGAGAACAGGCTTGGCAGCGGTCTGGGGTCAGGGGAAGGATAGGGAGTGCTGTTGGGATTTTTGAGTTGCTAGCAGCGCAAGAGACCACCTTGAGAGACAGCCTGCAGAGAGACAGAAACAGAGATGTTGACAGACCCACGCCTAGGAGTAGAAGCAGACATTACTGGGCCCAAAAAGCACCTGTTGGGCACAGGGACCTGGGAACACACTGTTAGGTAAGGCACGGGTTGCAAACTCAACCCTTGGGCTCCACCCCTGACATTCCAAATTGGGTGAGGCCCAGCAATCTGCTTTTTAATTTTTAATTTTTTTGAGCCTCCGCGCCTGGCAGAATCTGCATTTTAATAGGATCTCAGGTAGTTCTGATGGACACTCAAGTTTTGGGAACTCAAATACCCACAGAGACCACACAAAAATTTCAAACAAGGGAAGCTAGCCGGGTGTCGGGAGATGATCAAGAAATGTGTGACAGCGAAGCAGAGTGCAGAGCAGATCCCATGTAAAGAGGACAGTGGCCACCCAGCCCCAGCTGATTGCCAATTATTGCCAGATGGAATGTTGGCCCATGGTAGCCAGATGTCCTGAGGTTTTTTTGTTTGTTTGTTTGAGACAAGGTCTCACTCTGTCACCCAGGCTGGAGTGCAGTGGTGTGATCACTGCTCACTAAAGCTTCAACCTCCTGGGCTCAGGTGATCCTCCCACCTCAGCCTCCAGAGTAGCTGGGATCATAGGCACACACCACTACACCTGGCTAATCTTTTTATTTTTATAGAGATGGGCGGGGGGGGTGTCTTGCTATGTTCCCCACGCTGGTCTTGAACTCGTGGGTTCAAGTCATCCCCCCACCTCAGCTTCTGGAGTAGCTGGAACCACAGGCACTCACCACTACACCTGGCTTTTATTTATTTATTTATTTTTGAGGTGGAGTTTCACTCTTGTTGCCCAGACTTGAGTGCAATGGCACGATCTCGGCTCACTGCAACCTCCGCCTCCTGGGTTCAAGGGATTCTCCTGTCTCAGCCTCCCGAGTAGCTGGGATTACAGACATGCACCACCATGCCCAGCTAATTTTTGTATTTTTAGTAGAGACGGGGTTTCTGCATGTTGGCCAGGCTGGTCTCAAACTCCCGACCTCAGGTGATCTGCCCGCCTTGGCCTCCCAAAAGTGCGGGGATTACAGGCATGAGCCACCACGCTGAGCCTACACCTGGCTAATTTTAAAAATACTTTTTTAGGCTGGGCATGGTGGCTCACACTTGTAATCCCAGCACTTTGGGAGGCTGAGGTGGGCGGATCATGAGGTCAGGAGGTCGAGACCATCCTGGCTAACACAGTGAAACCCCGTCTCTACTAAAAATACAAAAAATTAGCCGGGTGTGGTGGCGGGCGCCTGTAGTCCCAGCTACTTGGGAGGCTGAGGAAGGAGAATGGCATGAACCCGGGAGGCGGAGCTTGAAGTAAGCTGAGATTGTGCCACTGCACTCCAGCCTGGGCGACAGAGAGAGACTCCGTCTGAAAAAAACAAACAAACATATATATATATATCTCTTTATAGAGATCGGGTCTCATTATGTTGCTAAGGCAGATCTCAAACTCATGGGCTCAGGCGATCCTCCCACCTTGGCCTCCCAAAGGACTGGGATTACAGGCATGAGCCACTGTGCCCAGTGCTACTTTTTTTAAGAGAAACTGGAATATCTGTAGTCCTGTATAACCTCTTTTTTTTTTTTTTTTTGAGACAGAGTCTTGCTCTGTCGCCCAGGCTAGAGTGCAGTGGTGCGATCTTGGCTCACTGCAACCTCCGCCTCCTGGGTTCAAGTGATTCTCCTGCCTCAGCCTCCCGAGTAGCTGGGATTACAGGCGTGCACTACCACGCCCGGCTAATTTTGTATTTTTAGTAGAGATGGGGTTTCTGCATGTTGGTCAGGCTGGTCTTGAACTCCCGACCTCAGGTGATCCGCCCACCTCAGCCACCCAAAGTGCTAGGATTATAGGTGTGAGCCACCGCACCCAGCCCTATCTCATTTTTAATATTGGAACTAGCTCATATTTTGAAAATAATGCTGTGAGAGCCAAAGAGCACATATCTGGAGCCATCCGTTTGTTTCCTGTGTGGGCTGTGGGATGAGGTGAGCCTCTCCAGCCTGGGCTCATGGTGGGCGGCCTAAGAAATCGTGGGTTGCTCAAATTCCAAGCAGCATCTCAAACCTACCCCTCTCTAGGTAACATTGCTCTTAAGGTCTTCAGCAGAGACCCAGGGGCTGAGACAGAAGACCTCACAATATCACTAAGCTATCTTCAGGCAAAATCCTGCAACCTGTCTCTTGCTATAGACGCTAAGATCCTGCCTGGTCTTGCCTTCATGTCCTAGGCCGGAGCTGGGTCCCTTGCCCATCCCCTCTGCTCCCCCATCTCTACCTGCCTCCAGGTCCTGGGGAGAAAGTAGGATCTCATCTGCCCAGCCCAATGGGCACTGCGGTTCATCTCATGCCTGCTGGGTTCCACAGCCCTCAGGTGGCTCCCCTCACAGAGGGGGAAGTTGGGGAAGGCTTGGAAAAGGGAATAGCGTTGGAGGTAACCACGCTTGGTTAAAAAGTCCAGAAATCCAGAGCCAACCAGGCCAGCTGGTGGCTGCTGACCCCAAGGCAGGAAGCCAAGGGGCCCAGGTCCTCCCTGAGTGGTGAGTGGCAATGCCCACCCCAGACAGGCCTGGGCCCTGGGCCAGGGTCAGTGGAACGTGTCTGACCTGGACTGGAAACTGTGCCTCATGAGGCTTGGGGTTGGGGGTGAGGCCTCTGGCACTGGAGAGGGTCCCAGAGGGTCAGGCTCTGAGGGGTAGGGGGGCAATATGGAAGGTCTCAAGTCCAGGGGCGCAGTCCCTGTCTCCATGGTCCCCACACTGGCTGGGCAGTGAACTTCAGCAAGCGTAGTATCCTGGAGGCTGGGTGATGGTCTGGACGCACAAGGAGAGAGGCCTGGTGGCCTCAGCTGTGGACAAGGAGGGTCTGGGGTCCAAGCGGAGCCTGCTGGGTGGCCTGGCGGACCCAGCCTGGCCTGCAGCAGGGCCATGATGTGCCGCAGCTCCCGGCTAAGCTGAGACACCTCCTGATTGAGACGAGAGATCTGTTGAAAACACATCGAGTTGTTTCACAGGCGCCACGGTAATAACCAGGTGCACCCCCCTCTCCAGTTTACAAAGCTCCTTCACAGTCACTTTCTGCTCATGGCCACCCTGGGAGAAAGGCAGGATGAGGGTTATTTTTGCCCGGATGGAAAATGCCCCAGTCTCTTTCCAGAAAGGATTTGGGGCAGCAGATATTGTATTCTTCCCCTACACACACACATGTGTGAGCTTTCCCAAGATGTGGAAAAATGTGCTCAAAGAGGCCACACATCTGTGAAGTGACAGCCTTATTCTCAGCTGATCCTATCGCAGGCTCAAGGGTCTCTATCTGTGCTTTTCAAACTTCAGTGAGTATAGAATCAACTTTTTAAAATGCACATTTCTGGGCCCCACCCCAGACATTCCCAATCCTAAGAGGCCCAGAAATCTGCACTCAATAGGTTGTCAGGTAGTTCTTTTTTTTTTTTTTTTTTTTTTTTTTTTTTGAGATGGAGGTTCACTCTGTTGCCCAGGCTGGAGTGCAGTGGCACGATCTCGGCTCACTGCAACCTCCGCCTCCCAGGTTCAAGCGATTCTCCTGCCTCAGCCTCCCGAGTAGCTGGGACTATAGGCATGTGCCACCTCACCCGGCTAATTTTTTGTATTTTTAGTAGAAACGGGGTTTCACCGTGTTAGCCAGGATGGTCTCGATCTCCTGACCTCATGATCCAACCACCTCAACCACCCAAAGTGCTGGGATTACAGGCGTGAGCCACCCCACCCGGCCTATCAGGTAGTTCTGATAGATACTTGTTTGGGAACCACTGGCCTAGAACTGAAGGATGCCCGAGGCCTTGAGTGGACTTGCCCTCAAGCTTGCTGAACAAGCACCAGCCCCGCCCAGGCCCCAGGGCCTGAACCAGCCCAGGCGCCGCCCCTCTGGGATGCCCCATGTTTATCAGAACACAGGGAAAGCCAGTTCCCAGGGGCTGGGCCTGGTTGCTCTGTGGTGACAACTCTGAGATCCCTTGGGGAGGAGGCAGAGGCTGCGCCTCAGCATATAGGATCTAGGTTCTTCCTGGACAGGATTCAGACGTCTAGATCCAGGTCCCCCAGGCCTGAAGGCCTCTCAGCCTCCCTGTCCCCTGCCCCCGCATCTGCTTACACTCATTCCCCACTGCTGGGGTAAGGGAAAGAGGTGGGGCCTGGGCAAGAGAGAGTCCCACAGTGGTGGAGGGAGAAGAGATCCTCTTATCAGGCTGGGAAACCTGAGCCAGTCGGGGAGGAAGGGAACCAACTGGTACCGAGTGCCTACGACATGCCAGGGACTGGACCAGGCACATTTGCACTCTCATTGCATCCTCAAAACTCTGGGAAGCACATATTACTATTTTCCCATTTTCGATGAGGAAGTTTAAGTTCAGAGCAACTGTGGGACTTGCCCAAGGTCATCTAGCTAGCATGAATTTTTTTCTTTTTTCTGAGACAGAGTCTTGCCCTGTCGCCCAGGCTAGAGTGCAATGGCGCAATTTTGGTTCACTGCAACCTCCGCTTCCCAGGTTCAAGCGATTCTCCTGCCTCAGCCTCCCAAGTAGCTGGGACTACAGGCATCTGGCTAATTTTTGTATTTTTAGTAGAGACAGGGTTTCATCATGTTGGCCAGGCTGGTCCCAAACTCCTGACCTCAAGTGAGCCACTGCGTCAGGCCTGAAATGCTGTTATATCAGGCGCATCTCTGAGCCAACCCCAACCCACCTCCTGGTTCAGCCGGCAAACCTTTTCCTTCACCTCCTCAGCCTCACTGGCCAATTCTGGGCTGGGCCTGGTCCCTGCAGGGTGAAGGGATGCAGGTGAGTTCATGCAGCATTAATACCTGAGCCTATAACTTGGGCTGGAACCCTCCTGTCATTGGGCAGGCGAAGAGCAGGGGGAGAAAAAGCTCTAGGGTCTGTGAGATGGGAAACCTAAACTCCTTAGCCTGGTTTTGAGGCCCCTGTGTAACTCTCCAGTCTCATCCTGCGCCTCGCCCTGTCTTGGTATGGAGCTTCTCTGTGGTGTCTAAACACAACATCCTCTGGTTTTCATGCCTTTCAAAAGCTGGTTTTTTTTTTTTTTTTCTGAGATGGAGTCTCACTCTGTTGCCCAGGGTGGAGTGCAGTGGTGTGCTGTCAGCTCACTGCAACCTCTTCTCCCAGGTTCAAGCGATTGTCCTGCCTCAGCCTTCCGAGGAACTGGGATTACAGGTGTGCACCACCACACCTGACTAATTTTTGTATTTTCAGTAGAGATGGGGTTTCGCCATATTGGCCAGGCTGGTCTCGAACTCCTGACCTCAGGTGATCCACCCTCATCAGCCTCCCAAAGTGCTAGGATTACAGGCATGAGCCACCATGCCCAGCTCAATAACCGTTTTGCTCCATCCTTCAAGATCCCACCCTTTAAGCAGCAACCCAAGCATCCCCTCCTCTAGAAGGAAGTCCAGTGGGCACCTTCCTCTTCTACCAGAGTCCAGTTCTTGTCTGTCATGGTATTTAGCATCTGGAATTGTTTATCTGTGTACAGAGGTGTCTCCCTGCTAGACTCACTCCGAGAGCATGGGCCAGGTCTGTTTTATCTCTGTATTCCCAGGATGGCACCTGGTACATGGTAGGCCCCTACTACATATGGGATGGATGGACAGGTGGATGGGCAGATGGATGACGGGGTTGAAGTCCACTGTTGGCCCTTACCTGTAGGGGGCACCTGGGAGCGGGGCCTTGCCGGCTCAGGCCTCCTGCTGAACCGGAATGAAGGGGCCTCAGCTGTGCTGCCAGAGTCCTCAATGCCATCCACTATCCTGGGGACAGGGTAGTGCTCATCAGCACCATGGGGTGAGGGTAAGGGCCAGAGCAGAGCAGACAGAGGGGAACTGGGGGCAGCAGTGCCAGGGGGGCGGAGCAAGAGCGGCGGTCAAAGTGGGTTGGGGTTGCAGGCTGTGGTTGGAAGGGTGCGGTGGGCACACGGGCAGAGACAGGATGAAGCACTGTTTGGATAGAGCCCAGAGAAGGTTCTGGAAGCCAGTAGGGGTTTGGGGAAGGGAGGGGAGGCTAGCATCTCACCGGGGACTGAGGTCCGGAGGTCCAAAGGTTCCCAGTGGGGGAATGAGAAGCTGAGGGGGCTTCCAGGCAGCAGAGCACCTGGGGGGGCTGTGAGGGGAGGCGCTGTGGCCCTGGCCAGCCAGGGCAGGGGACAGGGACGGGGATAAGGAAGGAGAGGAGACAAGGGCTGAGAATGGGGGCAGCTCCTCGCCCAAAAGGCTGACCAGGGAGCCCCGAGGCCGTGCTGGACTGAGGTTGGGCAGCAGGAGGGGCCGTCGGGGCCTGGGACCACCCCCAGGCTCCGCGCCACTCTCAGCCTCTGTGATGGATGGCAGCGTCTTGTCTGAGGAGGAGCCGAGGCTTTCTGAGCGGGGCTGCGGGCAGAGGGGGCAGCTGATGTCGCACGACAGTGACCACAGACCCCTTCATTAAGTAAGAGCCTTCACCGGCGGATGCAGCTCCCCATCCGTGGAAAGGAGGACGCTGCTCCCCATCTCACCCTCTCCCCAGGGCAATTCAACCCCACCCAGGAAGTGGGTGTTACCTGGGAGAGGCGAGGGGATCGGGAAAAGCGGCTGAGGCCCTGTGGGGACATAGGAGAGTTCAAGCCGACTCCCGCCTCCCCGCGGCCAGAGCGCAGCCCCTCCCTGTCCCACCCAACAGTGTTATGGGGTTGAGAATGTGGGGTCTTTTGTGGAGCTGAGTCAGAAACTACAACTCTAACTCAAACAAACACTGCATAGCAAAGTGAGACTGAAAAGCAGCAAAAGACCAAGGCCCAAAGTGTAATGTACAGGCCTGGCCCAGAGCCTAAAACACAGTGGACTCGGGAGACATTTGGTGAGAGAAGAAGGGGAAGTCCCAGGCGATGATGCCCCGTCCAGAGAGGGGCTTGAAAGAGGAGCACATGAGGTGGTTGTTTCTAAAGGCAGGGTCGTGGCTGGGCATGGTGGCTCACGCCTGTAATCCCAGCACTTTGGGAGGGTGAGGCGGGCAGATCACCTGAGGTCAGGAGTTTGAGACCAGCCTGGCCAACATGGCGAAACCCTGTCTCTACTAAAAATACAAAAATTAGTCAGGCATGGTGTGCACACCTGTAATCCCAGCTACTTGGGAGACTGAGGCAGGAGAATCACTTGAACCCAGGAGGCGGAGGTTGCAGTGAGCCAAGATCGCGCCTCTGCACTCCAGGCTGGGTGACAGAGCGAGACTGTCTCTCTCTCTCACACACACACACACACACACACACACACACATAAAGAAACAAAGGGAGGGTCCTTTGAAGGAGTCAGGAGTCTGGAGTGAGGCTGAGGGGTGGTCAGTGGAGATGGGGCAGTAGAGTTGGGAGTAGAAGGTGATGAGAGACGGCCAGGGGCCTGGGTGATGGCCAGTGTAGTGTCAGCAGGGTTGGAAGGTATGAAGCAGGTAAGGGGCAATGGAGTAGGGTGCCTGGGCTTCAGGCATGATGTTTTTAGGGTGGAGGGAGGCTCATGGGACTCTCAGGCTGGGGAGGTCTGCTTTGGAGGAAGGGACTCTGGAAGGATGGCGGCCATCAGGGGTGTACATACACTGGTGTCAGAGCCCTGGCGCAGGTTGAAGGTGAGGTCCCGGGGCAGGCCAGCCCGGAAGGCAGCCCCATACTCAGGATAGAGCCTCAGGACCTCAGCCAGCCCTTGGCTGCTCAGCTGCTGCAGGCCACAGTAGGTCAGAGCTTTCACATCAGCACTGGTCTTCAGCACGAAGCTTGGGTCTGCTCCCAACCCAGCTTCCTGCCCCGGCTCAGGGATATCTGCTCCAATCAGGTCCCCCTTCCCTGTAGGTAAGGGATGGGGACAGTCAGCTGGGGCAGTGGGAACAAAAGGATATCAGCTGGAGGTGCTCAGTGGATTTGAGGGGTGGTCAGTGTGTTTGAAGGACGGTTGATGGTGGGCCAGTCAATGGGACTGGTGGAAATAACCAATGGAATTGGGAAAAGGTCAGTGGAGAATGACTGGTGAGGTTGGGAGACAGTCAGTGGGAGTGAGTAGGGCCAGAGGAATGATCGATGTAATTGGGTGATAAAAATCACAATGGCCGGAGGGATCAGGTCAGTTAGAGGGTAAAAGTGACTGGAGTTTAGGGTCAATGGGGTTGAGAAGTGGAACAATGGGAAAGGATCAGTTGAGCTGGGGGACAGTCACTGGGAGGGGTTGATAGGTTGAGGGATGCCTAAGGGGATTAGGGGATAATCAGAGGGGAATTGTCAAAAGGGAATGGTCATAGGGTGAAGGGACCGAGAGAGTATTCCTCAGCAGGAACTGTAGGTATCCACAAGGAGTATCCCATTCCCTAGAATCCTGGCCACTCCCAAGTCCTCGGCAGCGGGGAGTGGGGGGGTGGTTCCGGGGTAGGTAATCAGGGGTGACGGGGTCCTTACCCAGGATGGCCAGCACCATGTTGTCTCGGAGCACCTCAAGTGAGCCGGAGCAGACATAGTAGTGTGCCTGCAGGGCATCCCCACGGCGCAACAGGTACTCGCCCGGAGCGCAGAACGAGGTCTTGATGTGCAGCGATAGGGCCCGCAGGCAGCCCCTGCTGGCTGCCCCGAACAGCGGCAGCTGCAAGATCTCCCGATTCAGGTGCATAGCAATGTCAGCTCTCAGCTCGTCTGGGAAGTCACGCAGTAACTGCATAAGGGGCATAGGTCATTCTGGCCATCCCCCTGCAGCTACTACTTGAGTCTACAAATGTGCTGAGCTGTCTTCAAAGAGAGAATTCCTCTTGCCCTTGCTTTGAAGTCACCCATTCCAGACCTTCAGTACAACCTCTGTGTCTAACGTCAATTTTGCTTGCTGCGTGAACCTTGAAACCCAATTTCAGGGGCAGAGACCAGGTCTTCTCCCATCAGTTCCCCGCTATGGCTACATAGCGGTCACTTAACCCCATCATTCAGGAGCTGTCTCTTGGGGGTCAGCCTTCAACTGGGAGTCAGGAGACCAGGAGTCAGCTTGGCTCCTAAGTCCCTGTGGACCTTGGGCAACCCATTTCCGCTCGCTGGGCCTCAAGATCCCAGTTTGTATCTCAGTCTGTAAAATGCAGAGTTGTTATTAGACCTTGGGCACTACCAATGACCTCTTAGGGCCACATTCCATGTTCACATCCTCATATGGAGTCCCTTGGCCACCCTGGCTTGTTGAACTCTCCTCTCAGCCCCCCTGGGCTCCCGTGAGGGGCTTCCTCCCGGTTCCTCCCACCTCTCCCATTGCTCACTTCCTCATTTCCTCCCAGGCTCCTCTTCCTCAGCCAACACCCCAGACTCTCACTTTCCACACTCTTCCTGCATCATGGCAACTGGCCCCATGGCTTCCCCACTACCTGATTGTCCTGAGCCCTAACTCTGAGTCCAGACCTGATTTCTTTTTTTTTTTTTTTTTTTTTTTTTTTTTTTTTTTTTTTTTTTTTTTTTTGAGATGGAGTCTTGCTTTGTCACCCAGGCTGGAGTGCAGTGGCCGGATCTCGGCTCACTGCAAGCTCCGCCTCCCGGGTTTATGCCATTCTCCTGCCTCAGCCTACGGAGTAGCTAGGACTACAGGCGCCTGCCACCTCGCCCGGCTAGTTTTTTTGTATTTTTTTTTTAGTAGAGACGGGGTTTCACCGTGTTAGCCAGGATGGTCTCGATCTCCTGACCTCGTGATCCGCCCATCTCAGCCTCCCAAAGTGCTGCGATTACAGGCGTGAGCCACCGCGCCCGTCTTTTTCTTTTTTTTGAGGCAGAGTCTCACTCTGTTACGCAGGCTGGAGTGCAATGGCATGATCTCAGCTCACTGCAACCTCGGCCTCCCAGATTCAAGTGATTCTCCTGCCTCAGTCTTCTGAGTAGGTGGGATTATAAGTGTGCACCACCACGTCCAGCTAATTTTGTATTTTTAGTAGAGACAGGGTTTCACAGTGTTGGCCAGGCTGGTCTCAAACTCCCAGCCTCAGATGATCTGCCCACTTCAGCCTTCCAAAGTGCTGGGATTACAGGCTTGAGCACTGCACCCAGCCAAGAGCTGATTCCCATCCACCTACTGGGCAACCTCCCTCTGGACCTCCCCCAGGCACCATACCCTCCTCCTGGTCTGACCCGGGACTCTCACCTTCATCCCAAAGCCCCATCTTCCTCCTGTTACGCCTCCATCCCCACCCTTGGCCTAAGCCAGAAATCTGGGAGTCACTCTGAGCTCTTCTGCAACCAGCAGGAGATCACCACATCCCACAGATCCCATTCTCAGAGATACCTCACCAATCCATTCCCTCTGAGATCCCCACACCACTCCCCAGTGTAAACATTACGCAGGATAAAATCTAAATTCCAGGCCATCCCTGAGCTGGGCCTGCTGCCTCCCAGCCCATGTCGTGCCCTCCTGCCCTGCCTTCTCCCTCTGCAGCACTCACATGCCTGTTCCTGCAGGCTTATGGAGCCGCTTTCAGTTTCCTAAAGCACCCACTCTGCTCTTTTGTGCCATCACTTCTGGACCTGTGTCCCTATGACCCTTTCTACCAGGGATGGCCTTCCTATAGCAGGCTGATTTCCTTCTTGTCCTCTGTGATGTCCCTTCTTCTGTGCCACCTTCCTTGACTCCTCCCCGCCCAGGCACAACGAGGACCCAACGTCACCAACATCCCTCCTTTACAGCCCCATTCACCGCCGCACTCTGTTCATCTGTCTGCCTCCCTCACCATTCTGGGTCTCCCTGAGGGCCAGGGCTGAGTGTCATCATCTCTAAGCTCCCTGTGCCCAGCACCAAGGCTGGCCCAAAGCAGGCACTCAGGAAATGTTGGCAGAAGGGAGAGTGGCATCAGCTGGGCCCTGAGCTCTTTCACTCCCATATTCAAGTGCAAAGAAACAAGAATTTGGCCGGCTGTGGTGGTGCACGCCTGTAATCCCAGCAAATTGGGAGGCTGAAGCAGGCGTATCAAGACGTCAAGGGCTCAAGACAAGCCTGACCAACATGGTGAAACCCCATATCTACTAAAAATACAAAAATCAGCCGAGTGTGGTGGCAGTTGCCTGTAATCCCAGATTCTCAGGAAGCTGAGGAAGGAGAATTCCTTGAACCTGGGAGGCAGAGGTTGCAGTGAGCCGAGATCACGCCACTGCACTCCAGCCTGGGCAACAGAGCAAGACTCCTTCTCGAAAAAAGAAAAAAAAAAAAGAAACAAGAATTTGTATTTTGGGTGAGTGTGTGCCCTTGTGAACAATACCTCACCCCCGGGGCCCTGTTTGCCTCCATTTTATTTTATTTATTTATTTTTTATTTTTACTTTTATTTATTATTATTATTACTATTTTTGAGACGGAGTCTCGCTCTATCGCCCAGGCTGGATCTTGGCTTACTGCAAGCTCCGCCTCCCGGGTTCACGTCATTCTCCTACCTCAGCCTCCCGAGTGCCGGGACTACAGGCTCCCACCACCATGCCCGGCTGATGTTTTGCATTTTTAGTAGAGACGCGGTTTCACCGTGTTAGCCAGGATGGTCTCGATCTCTTGACCTCGTGATCCACCCACCTCGGCCTCCCAAAGTGCTGGGATTACAGGCATGAGCCACCGCGCCTGGCTATTTTTTATTTATATGTATATATTTTTAGACAGAGTCTCACTCTGTCGCCCAAACTGGAGTGCAGTGGTGCAATCTCGGCTTACTGCAAGCTCCGCCTCCCGGGGTCACGCCATTCTTCTGCCTCAGCCTCCTGAGTAGCTGGGACTACAGGTACATGCCACCATGCCCGGCTAATTTTTTGTATTTTTAGTAGAGACGGTTTCACCGTGTTAGCCAGGATGGCCTCGATCTCCTGACCTTGTGATCCGCCCGCCTCGGCCTCCCAAAGTGCTGGGATTACAGGCGTGAGCCACCGCGCCCGGCGCCTCCATTTTATTTTATTTTATTTTTTTGAGACAGAGTCTAGCTCTGTCACCCAGGCTGGAGTTCACTGGCATGATCTTGGCTCACTGCAGCCTCTGCCTCCCTGGTTCAAGTGATTCTCGTGCCTCAGCCTCCCGAGTAGCTGGGATTACAGGTGTGCACCACCACAGCTGATTAATTTTCATATTTTTAGCAGACAGGGTTTCACCCTGTTGCCCAGGCTGGTCTTCAACTCCTGACCTCAAGTGACCCACCCGCCTCAGCCTCCCAAAATGCTGGGATTACAGGTGTGAGCCGCCACACTCGGCCTGCCTCCATTTTAAGCCAGAGGGGCAGCGACCCCTTCCCCACGCCACTGCAGGGCCACGCGGAGGGTGAGGGCAAGACGGGAGACCCTGCGCACTACCTCGTTGGCGTCGATGCCGCTGTTGACGGCCCACGTGGTCTGGAAGTATTCGAGCATGCGCTGCTTGAGCGGCCGCGGCAGGCGGTGCACACTGATGAAGTCCTTGAGGTCCTTCATGCGGCTGTGGTAGAGCGAGCGGCGCGAGTACATGCGCTGGATGATGGCTGTCACGTTCCCGAACACCACAGCGTGCATCAGGGCTGGAGCAGCAACAGCAGGCTGGTCAGGACCGGCCACCCTCTGGCCACCTCCCCAGCTTCCAAACCCACCCTGTCCTGGCCAAGAGCCAGTGGGCTCCTGTGTGCCTACTAGGTGCCAGGCACTAGACTAGGGATGGGGAATAGGGAGTGGTCCAGAGATGGGTAACACCCCATGCTCCTCTCAGGCCTCCCCATCATTAGGTCATGAACCTGGGTTTCCCATCCCTTTTGCAAGAGGCCACGCCTGGTTGTGGCATCCCCAGGGCCAGCACATAGTGGGCACTCAGGAAACGTCCATGAATGAATGCGTGACTGTCTGGACTTGGGTAGACACCTCGAGCAGATGCCTTGCCCTCTCTGGGCCTCAGTTTCCCCGTGCACGCTGGGCTTCGCAGGGCCCCACTGAGGCGTGGCAGGTCTGGCCTCACCGCCTATGAGCATCGTGCAGATGGAGAAGATCTTCTCGGCGTCGGTGTTGGCACACACGTTGCCAAAGCCTACGCTGGTAAGGCTGCTTAGAGTGAAGTACAGTGCCGCAATGTAGGCGCTGCGCCGCGATGGGCCGCCCACTGAGCCATTGACGTAGGGCACCTCCAGACGCTTGCCCAGCTCGTGCAACCAGCCTGCAGGGTGGACGGATGCAGGGAGCCCTGGCTGTGCCAGCGGTGGAGAACCAGGGTTCCCTGAGCCACCTGTGCTTGACCTTCGGCAAGTATTTATACACAGGTTGGCACAGGAACTGTGGGGAACGGTCTGGGCCTGTGCCTCCCCATGGTGCACTGGTTACAGTTGCAGTCCAAGGCCGCCAACTCACTATACTGCTGACTGTTCAAAGGCTCCTGAAACTTACTAATAGTTTATTGTGCACCTGCTGTATACAAAGTGTTGGGGAATTGACCCAGCCAAACACTCTCCCTGCCCTGGTGGAACCTATAGCCTGGAGGGGAAAGAGACATGACATAAATCATTACAGGTGGGGGATGAGCTCCTGGAAGGAAAGTATTGTATACGGTGTGTTAGGAATCCTAATAGGTTAGGGAAAGCCAACCCACTGGCAGCTGGGGGGTTCTGGACATGGTGCCTGGAAGGCATGCTCCTTAGGACGGGGCATTTTGATTGAGACACATGGAACCAAAGGAACATTGGTTCCAAGTGAGGCAGGGAACAGAAAATCCATCTAGGTGGAGAGGGAAGACAAAAGAGGGAGGATGCCAGAGAGGAAAACAACATGTTCCAGGCCCAGCATGAGAAAGCAGTACGTCCTGGGTCCAGGGGAGAGGCTGGTGTGACTGCGGCGCAGGGAGCATGGGAGAACGGGAAGGCAGGTGGGGAGAGAGGGGACACAGGGCTGCCCAGGGTGTGCACTGAGTGTGGACTTCATTTGGAGGGCAGTGGGAAGCCACTGAAGGAATCCCAGCAGGAGTGTGGCAGGTCAACGTTGAATCCTAGAACCCATTTGGCTGTGGTGAGAAGAGTGGTTGTGGGAGGGACGAGAAGGGGGTTGGGAGATCAGAAGGGAGGCTATTGCACAGGCCTGGGTGAGAAAGGGAGGTGGAGTGGACTTGGAAGGGGAAGACAGGATGGAGAGAAAAGGTCAGATTCAAGGGACATTTGAGAGGTGGTATTGATGTGGTGGGCTAGGTGTGGGGTGAAGGAGCGGGAGGTGTCAGGGACCATGCCCAGGATGTGACAGGCCTTTCAGAGGGATTGCAAGGGCCTGGGGCTGTCTCCTGGCCCGTGGCTATGAAGCCTGGAGAAGGAGGGATTAATGGGGGCAAAGATGCCAGGCTCTTTCAGGGACTTTTCACATGCTGCTCCTTCTGCCTGAAACACACCCCTCCACCATCAGTGTCTCCTGCATTGTACTTTGATCATGATCACTGGTCTTGCTCCCCTGTTAAGCTGTGAGTTCCCCCCACCAGCCCCCCAAAACAGAGCCCTTGTCTGCAAATCAATATTCCCATGCTTGATCCAGAAATAGCTCAACGCATGTTTGTTGGATGGATAGAGGAATGTGGGATGAGAGGTGTGGGTACTGGTGGAGGCATCGGCTTGGGGATGGGACAGGTGGACAGGTGGTCTGTGAAAGTCTTGGGTCGGTGGCTCACCAATGTCCCAGAGCAGCGGGTCATTGGCCTCCATCTCCCGGCGCCCGATGACGTACCAGATGCAGGCCATCCAGTGGGCAAGGAGCGCAAAGACCGACATGAGCAGCGTGAGAACCACAGCACTGCACTGAGAGTACCGCTCCAGCTTCTGCAGCAGCCGCAGCAGCCGCAGCAGCCGCACTGTCTTCAGCAGGTGCACCAGCGAGGTCTGCGGGAGGGTGGCGGGGGAGGTTGTCAGCAGGCATACCTCCTCCGAGCCCTCAGTCCCCTCCCAGGGCCTTCCCACCAGACACCCTGGAGCCAGCGGAGGCCGCAACAGGAAAGACATCGTTGCCGTCCTGAGAAAGTGGCCAAGGAATGCAGCAGGAAGGGAATAATAACAATAAAACAAACAGTGGCTAACGCTTAGTAATTATTTTCTTTTTTTTTTCTTTTCTTTTTCTTTCTTTCTCTCTTTTTTTTTTTTTTTTTGAGACAGAGTCTCACTCTGTAGCCAGGCTGGAGTGCAGTGGCGCCATTTCAGCTCACTGCAACCTCTGTCTCCTGGGTTCAAGCAATTCAAGGCTGCCTCAGCCTCCCTCCCCAGCTAATTTTTGTATTTTTAGTAGAGATGGGGTTTCACTACGTTGGCCAGGATGGTCTCGATCTCCTGACCCCGTGATCCACCCTCCTTGGCCTCCCAAAGTGCTGGGATTACAAGGGTGAGCCACTGTGCCTGGCCTTAGTAAGTATATTCTATGTGCTTAGCCAGGCACTGTGCTAAGCATTTGTAATTCTTATTTAACAATACACACACATACACACACACACAAAATTATACCTTTAGTTCAATTATCATCATCATTCCCAATTTGCAGATGAATGAACTAAGGCTCAGAGAGGCTAATGACTTGTTCAAGGTCACAGACCAAAGACATGATAGAGCTGGCACTCAGGGTGGGCATCTGGGCTAATTGACACCACAGTCCACCTCGTGTTCTAGGGCCACTAAGCACTGGGAGATGGTAGGGGAGCCAGCCCTGGTCAGAGTCAGGGGATAGGCAATGGTCGCTGCGCATCGGCTTGGGGATGGGACAGGTGGACAGGTGGTCTGTGAAAGTCTGGGGTCGGTGGCTCACCAATGTCCCAGAGCAGCGGGTCATTGGCCTC